CCCCCCCCGGTGCATGCTGGGGAGATGTCACCCTTTGTGAGGAATGAAGAAATGCACCATCGCCTGGAAGTGGCCAGCAAATGGCCCTGGCTTACTTCACATATCCGGCTTGATGAGCTCCGGGGGAGGGGTTTTGGCAGGCAGCAGGGTGCTCTCCTCACAGCGCCAAGAGGCTGAGCCGGGCAGTGCGAATCTGATGAGAAGTGCAATGCTGCCTAGCCCCCAGCCTGCCCAGTTTCAGCAGGCAGCAAGGTGCAAAGCTGGCGAGCTTCGCACCGCCCGGCTCAACCTCTCAGCACTGTGAGGAGAGCGCCCTGCTGCCTGCCGAGACCAGGCAGGCTGGGGGCTGGGCATCGCGGAGGTAACGTTGACTCTCACGCTGCTCATGGCATCCCCTCCCCCAGAGTCCACCAAGCCAGATATGTGAAGTAGGTGAGGGCCACGTGCTGGCCACTTCCAGGCGATGGTGCATTTCTTTATTCCTCATGAAGGGTGACACCTCCTCAGCTGCGTTTCTTGCCTGTTTTTCTCCCTCCCTCATCTCAAATATTTTCCCACCATTCTGTACTTAGGAAGGAAGGAAGGAAGGAAGGAAGGAAAGAAGGAAAGAAGGAAAGAAGGAGAGGGAGGATCTGAGGGAAGTCCTGCCTTAGTCCTGCCCTGCTGCCCTTTTACTATCCCCTTGCCCCCTCCTCCTGGCCTATCCTGGGGGTCTCCCATCCTATTGCTAAGGAACCTTTGGATACAAAGCCAGGTCTCCTCCCATGGAGATGGAATGGGCCTCCCTCTGACTTTGCCCTCGTACCCATCATGAGCAACCTGTGTAAGGAGAGCAAGCACAGCAGCTGGAGCTTTGAGGAGGAGGTAAGTGCAGCTGGGCGCCCCCTTGGGGAAGTGGGGCTGGGCTTGGTGCTGCGGGTGCTCGAGGGCCAGGCTGGGTGTTTGACCTCTGCTGCCCAGGGTTCCGGACAGCCCGTACCACCATCCAGCCCCCTCCCCCACATAGCCTGAGAGGAACAGTGAGGCTCCTCCAGTGGACCATGCCTCGGCGCTTGCCCCAGTCCCACCCCCTTCTGCCAGAGACCCTCAGATCTGTCCCACTCCTGCCCAGGCCCCCACAGGCACCCTTGATGTGAACGATGTAGAGCTGGCCATGCCCACCCAGTAGGCCACACCCACTCCATCCACACCCACCCAATAGGCTGCACCCACCCTGGCCACCCCCCCCCCAAGGCAACCGCAATGCTGATGCGCCCCTTAATAAAATTGAGTTTGACACCCCTGAGCTATACCATTACGAAAGGCCTGGAATATGAGCATTTGGAGTCGGCTCCAAATTACAGGATTTAGTTCACCCTGTGCCTTACTCCCTGGCAAATTTCTGAAGACCGCTGATGAAGGAGGAGTAATAATAATAATAATAATAATAATAATAATAATAATAATAATAATAGTAATGAGTTGGAAGAGACCTTGGAGGTCTTCTAATCCTGCTCAGGCAGGAAACCCTATACCATTTCAGACAAATGGCTGTCCAGCCTCTTCTTAAAAACTTCCAGTGTTGGAGCATTCACCGCTTCTGGAGGCAGGTTGTTCCACTGGTTAATTGTTCTAACTGTCAGGAAGTTTCTCCTTAGTTCTAGGTTGCTTCTCTCTTTGGTTTGTTTCCATCCGTTGCTTCTTGTCCTGCCTTCAGCTGCTTTGGAGAATAGATTGACTCTCTCTTCTTTGTGGCAACCCCTGAGATATTGGAATACTGCTATCATGTCACCCCTAGTTCTTCTTTTCATTAATTTGTTTTAGTTTTTGTTTAAAAAAAACTAGAATAGCAGTGTTCTTCCAAGTGACAGGCACATTTTGATCCGCTTGCTAGAAATCACACTAAATGTCTACATGGATATAAACGTGATTGTATTTAAACACATATTTAATGAAAATTGTATTAAATTAGTTCAATTACAGCAATAACTTTTTATTTCCATATTTTATTTCCCCCTTCTGCTCAAAATTACAATTTAGCAGAAATTTTTTAGAGAATTCTGCAGGTCAGACCTAAAGCTTTGAGGAATAAATGCAGTTTGGGAACTTTAGGCTATGCCATAAAAAACTGATAGGCTAAAAAAATGGCAGCATTTCTCTGTCAGGAATTGATCTCAACAATAGACCTGTTAGCCAGTTAGTTAGTCAGTAGGCAGATCTGGTATTACTTGCAGATTCAAGGATATCCAAGGATGTAGGCTAGACTGGAAGAAGTAAATGGGAACTCCCTATATATACCATTGCTAAGGAAACAACCTGGAATCATCCATGTTCAATCAAGATGAAATTGACTGGAGGAAGTCTTTACCTATAAATGTAGAACCCACAATGAATTTTCCTTCTTCATATTTTTGGGAGAAAGCTTGAGGAAGATTTGGAGATGTCTAAACTATTGGAAAACAGAGCCGAAATGCTGCTTACATTTTAGTTGGGTGCTGCCAAGGAGAACGGATGTGGCCATTTTGTTTATTTGGGGCAGCCCTTCCCAGCTTTTCAAGGCAAAACATCCTTTGCAAAATGGCCTGTGTTCTTGAAAAACTCATCAACGGTAGCAACTAAGTTGTTCTAAAAAATATGTACCTCTTGACTGGAAGATGAGTTATGGCAATGGGACTCCCTTTTCTTTTTGGTTTGAAACTCTTCACTGCTTTTTCAAGTAGCTTCTTCAGTCTGAGCAAGTTGGTTAGGGGAACTGTATATATGCTTAATTAGAGGATCCCCCTAACCAGCTTGCTCAGGCTAATGAAGCTACTTGGAAAAGCAGTGACAAGTTTCAAATCAAAAAGAAAAGGAGTCCCTTTGCCATGACTCAACTTCCAGACAACTCTACCTGGATGACCGAGAATTTTTATTGACATGTATCTCTTGAGTTTCTTTCAGTTTTATGATTTAAGATTAAGTTTAGGAGATAAGACGAAGGTGGTCCTGCTTCAATAAAAGAAGGAAGAGAGGACTGGATTTGCATTTTCTTTGAAATTGACTGAAGGAATCAGCCAAGTTGTGCTCCCATTAAGACATAATTGGGAAAACAGCGTCAGTAGTAACACCACAGTTGTTGTCTTTCATGGACATGAGGATGTAACCATCATTGCCCCAGTATGTAGACCAAGAGTTCTTGATGAGCCAATAAAGCTCTCCTTGAAGGACACCATAACCAACAGCCAGGACAGCATGATCTAGCTCGCCCCTCTTGTTTTCTAAAAAAGATGAAAATAAAAAAAATTAACTCAGAACAAAATGCCGTTTTTATATGTGTGATTAGGCAAAAGAATGCACCAGCACCATTTGGGCTAAGTAGTGACCCAGGCTGGGACTTTTAAATCCTAGATTTACATAATTTGTGAAGATTAAATGGTCATGTTTATTACTGCAGTGATGAAAATGCAAATTGTGGGCTTCACAACTACAGTAATCAACAATGCAATTTCTCTGCTTCTCTCTGTCTTTACTGCTGCTCCATGATTCACAGCTAATGTATATCTGTTAGGGATGTGAATTATAATTAGCAACTGAGAATTTGGGAAACCTCAATATTCTGACCATTGACATCAAATAACGCCCATTAGCATTCTTTCTGCAACTGAAAATTTGCAAACACACACAAAACATCTTCATACCCTCTTCCCCCAAAAAAACTTTACATGCTTCTAAAAGTTTCATATAAACAATCACAAATGCCTTTTTTTAAAAAAAAGAGTTTATATTGGGAAATTTTACATTGAAATTATCTTATTGAAGAAATATCCCTATAACATTTCAGACAAATGGTTGTCCAATCTCTTCTTAAAGACATCCAATAATGGAGCACCCACAACTTCTGAAGGCAAGCTGTTCCACTGGATAATTGTTCTGACTGTTAAGAAATTCCTCCTTAATTCTAGGTTGCTTCTCTCCTTGATGAACTTCCATCCATAGCTTCTTGTCCTGCCCTCAGATGCTTTGGAGAATAGCTTGACTCCCTCTTCTTTGGGGCAGCCCCTGAGATACTGGAAGACTGCTATCATGTCACCCCTAGTCCTTCTTTTCATTAAAGTAGACAATTCCTGCAACTGTTCTTCATATGTTTTAGCTTCCAGTCCCCTAATCATGTTTGTTGGTCTTCCCCTAATCATGTTTGTTGGTCTTTGTTGGACTTTCTAAAGAGTCTCAATATCTTTTTTATATCATAGGGTAGTATCAATCTGAATCTATTCTGGATTGGTGAACTAGGAATGGAGAAGGCTCCATTGGTTGACCCTGCATTTGTTATTTCTTAAGCTCTTTGGAACATCTATAATTAGAGTTTTGAGAATGAATGGGATCATCGATTTGCATATTAAAAAACAGGACTGCATCAGCTGGAGATTAATAGTCATAACTATGTTGCACACATAGCCAAACCAATCTTTAACACAGGCACATGGATCATTGTGTAGGTGGTCCTGCAGAACAATTCTCCCTTCTCAACTACCCTTGCTCAAGTTAATCCAGCTTAGTAGTCTTCAAAACTGGTATCCCTTTCTCTGTTTTCTTCCTTCAGAGTGGAAGCCAACTTAGATGTAGAAAAAGGAAGGATCTGGCTGAAATATGACATATGTAGATTTCTCCTAAGGGCATAATTTGGGCCCAGTTCCTGCTAAGTATAAACTGTTCTTGGAATGTAATTTCCAAATTGCATCTTGATTTATCAGTTTCACATTAATGTGGTAAGCTAAGGGTATTTCCATACAACATTTTTGCTCCATCAACGTATTTCAGTCAACTGTGTAATTATGTCATTTTTGGTTTCTTAAACTTGCTATAATCTATAATAAAAGTACATTTAAAAAAAACAGAAGGAAACTGGCTCAGATGCTTAAGGAAGGAGACATTGTGAAGATCAGGACGAACACCCCATGGAACAAGGGCTCAGAAACTTACTGCATTTGGGCTCATAGTAGACCCCATTAGAATAGAAAGAGAAAGTCCTGTGGGCGGCATCAATGCTGACAGAGACAGGACCGTGCTTGTAAATGGCAGCCTTCAGAGCAGTGGCATTCCCAGAAGTGACATTGACGTAACTTGAGAGCTTGCCAACGAGGTGAGTCTTGTTGCTGTGACAGTAGCCATTCTGGTAGAAAGAGAACACACCCCACAGTCAGGATTCCATTTGCTGTAGCATCCATCCCCTTGGCTTAGGGGCCGCCCCTGCGAGCCCTCTACAAGTAGATGCTGTGGTTATTATTAAAAGCATTAATAAATCACGACTTTATCATAGTCATTTACAGCCTCATTTTCCCATCTCCAAAGGAGTCATTCAAAGCAGTACAGGTAGTCTTCAACCTCTAACGGTTCGTTGCGTGACTGTTCAAAGTTACAACAGCATTGGAAAAGTGACTTATGACCATGGATGTAAGTCGAGGACTACCTATATATAAATGCATAACTTAGAGCACTCAGCATGTGAGTGGCCATAAGTCAAGGGCTATCTGTATCCTAAGGTTTCTACTTAGTTGATCGTATGCCTCCCTTTACTATCCCCAAACTGTAGTTGTTCCAAACTCTGTGTTGCGGTCCTGCTTTTAGTTAATCCCAACCCCAACAGTTAATCCCAACAGATCTACAAACAACTAGTTGCCAATCGGCTTCTCTTTCAGAGCAAGTCTTAAGCCACACCAATCTTTCTCACGTAAGCAGAAAATTATTTATAATTAAATTATTAATTATAATTTAGTAGCTGACTGGCAGAAGTGATGTATAGAGAATGAGTCAGCAGAGTATTTTAGGGATAGTGTCCCTTTAAGAGACTGTATATGAGGAGAATGACAGTTGGAATCTCTCGCTCACTTGAACCATTTGAATATATCTGACTGAATGTTGTTGTTTCATGTTGTATATTAAACCATAGTTCTTTTGATAAACCACTGTCAGATGTTTGTGCTCCTGTGTTGTCACAAGAAGAAAACAAGAAAAAGGCTGAATAATTTATATTTTAAACAACACAGAGGTCTTCTGGATGCCCCTCTGACAGACAGGTTTCTGTCACTCACTTGTCCTTTGTAGGGCCCATACGACTCGGTGGTGGCAATGCCGCCATGTTTCAGGATCCATTCAAATGCCTGCCACTCCTCACCACCATCACAAGCATAGTTTCCAAAACCCCAGGAGCAGTCGATGAGAATTTGTTGAGACAAAGGGATGAGGTGGCCAGTCTGGGGAACAGAATAAAAATAGCAATAGCACTTAGACTTATATACCGTTTCACAGTGCATTATAGCCCTCTCTAAGCGGTTTACAGAATCAGCAATTTGCCCCCAACAATCTGGGTCCTCATTTTACCGACCTTGGAAGGATGGAAGGCTGAGTCAACCTTGAGCCAGTGAGAATCGAACTGCTGGCAGTTGGCCGAATTAGCCTGCAATACTGCATTCTAACCACTATGCCATCAGGGCTCAAAAATACTTTGTTCAGGCTTGGCTGCATTTCCTGGCAAGGGAGCAAAGCTACCAATTGCAGTTCCTAACGACATCAGAAAAATCACAGTAAAGGATGTGTGTGTGTATACAGTATTTTTTTTTATAGAAAGCAGTTGCATCCTTTTTTACAGCTCAGCAGACATGCAGGTAGTCCTTGACTTACAACAATTCATATAGTGATTGTTTGAAGTTACAACGGCACTGAAAATAGTGGTTTATGACCGTTTTTCACACTTATGACTGTTGCAGCACCATGATCAAAATTCTGACACTTGGCAACTGACTCAGATTTATGACATTTACTGTGTCCTGGAGTCATGTGATCCCCTTTTGTGACCTTCCGACAAGCAAAGTCAATGGGGAAGCCAGATTCACTTAACAACTGTGTTACTAACTTAACAACTGCAGAGATTCACTTAACAACTATGGCAAGATAGGTTGTAAAATGGGGCAAAACTCACTTAACAACTGTCTTGCTTAGCTACATACAGAAATTTTGGGCTCAATTGTGGTCCTACATCAAGAACTACCTGTATTGTTGTGCTTTGCAGAACAACAATCCTTCTTTCTATTAAGGAGGGTTGTTCTACTCTCATCCTTTGGAACCCTGAACAACACAAAGTTCTATGGCAGGGGTCCCCAACCTTGGCAACTTTAAGACTTGTGGACTTCAACTCCCAGAATTCCTCAGCCAGCCAAGCTGGCTGAGGAATTCTGAGAGTTGAAGTCCACAAGTCTTAAAGTTGCCAAGGTTGGGGACCTCTGTTCAATGGAATATGAAAGACAAACTAAAGGTAAAAGCTGATTGAGTTATCATAAATATCAGAAACACCATTCTAGAGTCTTTCACCCCCACAAATTAGAGCGCTGATTTCTTTCTACCCTTTCTAGCTGAATGTGGGCTCAGCTCAGGAATTTGTTTTCTCTATAGGAACAGTTTTAATCTCTCCAGTTTTCTGTTTCACTGCTAGAGCTGCTGTTTTTTTTTAAAGAAAAAAAATGTCAGTGGTATAATTTAGAAGATTACAGTTGGAGTGACTTTTGAATAGCAACTTTTGAACATTACTCCGTGTGTGGGTTTTCTTTTTTAAAAAAAACAGGCCCAAAAGCCTTACTGAGCAATCACCAGTGCTTTGATTGGCATTTCTAAGGATCTTTAGAAAGTGTTTCTAAGAGGCTATATGCTAGGGCTGTGTAGTGCATCCAAATTGAAGAAATACTTTGGAACAAGTAGGAGCAGGAACACGGCAACTGAGCCCGGAGCTCTGCATTGTCTTATGATGTCTTTCCCTTGTGCAAAATAACCAACAGAATAGAAATATACTTCATCCTTGGTAGATTTGTTGGTTGTACAGATAGTCCTTGACCTACAAACACAACTGAGCCCAAAATTTCTGTTGCTAAGTGAGGCATTTGTTAAGTGATTTTTGTCCCATTTTACGACTTTCTTGCCACAGTTGTTAAGTGAATTGCTGTAGTTGTTATGTTATTAACACAGTTTGTTAAATGAATCTGGCTTCCCCATTGACTTTGCTTGTCAAAAGGTCACAAAAGCAGATCACGGAATCCCCGGACCCTGCAACCGTCATAAATATAAGCGAGTTGTCAAGCATCTGAATTTTGATCATGTGACCATGGGGATGCTGCAACGCTTGTTAAGTGTGAAAAACGGTCATAAGTCACTTTTTCCAGTGTTGTAACTTTGAACGGTCAGTAAATAAACTGTGGTAAGTCAAGGACTACCTGTATTCACATAATGTTCTCTATAAAATATGTCTGACAAGCCCTAGTGGCTAAGGCAAAATTAAAGCAACCATATTATGTCTTAATGAGTTCTATGAACCAAGTCATTGAATTGGACTGTAACAGGGGATGAGTAACTATGGGCCCTTTACCACCTGTGGACTTCAACTCCCAGAATTCCTGAGCCAGCCCGGAATTCTGGGAGTTAAAGTCCATAGGTTGTTGAGCACCCGAATCTGTCCAGCCCTGGACTATAATGTTGATTCTTTGTTTTGTCTGACCATATTATGGGGATAGAGCCACTCTCAAAATGCTAATCTTAGTTTATGCTGTACAACCATCCTACAACATCATTCTAATTTGTAATTAAATGCATTATTCAAAACAATTAAATTAGGAAGAGGAATGAATTAATTTCTCTTTGCTTATGTAAAAACTAATGGTCGGAAAAAACATTTATACTTGTTAAAACAAACTACTTAAAGATATTAGTTGAAAGAATTTGGCAACCTTAGCCATGTTCCTATGTAGATTTTTTTGGTGGATATTACTTCCCTCTTTGGCAAATGTATTGATATAAATCATCCATTATTCTATTTCCATATTTAGCCTAGTTACTTATGTTATTTTTCTTTGGTTACTGATGTAATAGTAATGTTTGTTCTGTAACTTCCACTAGTGATATTAACCTATTGGAAACAAGACCAGGATAGTGATATCTGTATCTATATCTGTATCAATCAATCTCCATCAATATCAGAACAGAGAGCCAGTTTGGTATGGTGGTTAAGGTGCTGGCCTAGAAACCAGGAGAATGTGAGTTCTAGTCCCACTTTAGGCATGAAAGATGACTGAATGACTGGGCCAATCCCTCTATTTCAGCCCAGCCCACCCCAAAGGGTTGTTGTTGTGGGGGAAAACAGGAAGGGAAAGGAGTATTAGATATGTTCACACCTTGAGTTACTTATAAAGAGGGGATTCCCCCGTGCCATCACTCTGCCGAACACTTCATTCTTATAGCACTGTCTCATTTATCATCTTCTCATCTTTCCTACTATCTTCTCCGATTGGTTTCTTATGATTTATCAATTGTTGTTTGTAACACGATTAATGATTGTAACTATGATTTATGACCTATGGCCTATTACTTGCTGTTTATATGTACATTGTGAGCTTATGCACCGGAGACAAATTCCTTGTGTGTCCAATCACGCTTGGCCAATAAAGAATTCTATTCTATAAAAATCAGATACAGACAGACAGACAGACAGACAGACAAATAGTGGTTCTTCGGCAGCCTACATGAGAATTAGGCAAAGCATTGGAGATGCAAAACTTTCCAGGCTTGAAACATTCTGCTGCAATTCTCCCTTCCAAACAATTAACATGAACGTATTTTGGAACAGGGTCTTTTGAATTTTGCACACTCCTATTAACCGACATCTTCCAAAATGTAAGGAATGAAGCAGTTCCTACCTTAAGGAAGAGAGCTCCTTCAAGGGATCCCGTACTAGAAAAGCTCCAGCAGGAACCACACACAGCCTGGTCTTTGACAGGAGTCACTGCCCCTGGAAAGAGCAAAGAGAAAATTTTTGCACACTTGCCTTGCCATCCTCCTGCATACCTCCTGTTATGCTGTTTATCTTCAAATGCTGCCAAACAAGATCAGAATCCCATACTTTTTTCTTTTGCAATAGGAAAAATCCAAAGGATATTTAGAACAAGGTTTAACTTTTATCCACCCACCCCAAAACAATCAAGTTTTTATTTTTTATCTTTTGCATTTTCTACCTATGCCGTTTAGTATTTGTACCTAGCTCAACTCTTTTGTCACATCAGGCAAGGACAAAGTCTATTTCTCCATTAGTGATTTTCAAAATCTTCTAGTATTCCTCTACTATCACTGGTGATATAAAGCCTATTCTCATTACTGTTCTTTTGGTACAGTAACAGTTGGATGATTCTAGAAGATGCAATGTCTGGGTGAAGAAGTGGTCCAAGTGAGCAATCAGCAAAAACATCCTATTATTAATTGCAACAAAAGGGAATAGAAGGAAAATTAGAACACTACTATAATGTAGTTTGCAAAGAAATGACGAAAACCATGTTGGAAAAGAAAGGGAATCAATCCTCTCCCTGTTTGAATAATAACTATAAAAAAACCTAAAAACAAAACAAAAAACTCAGGAAACTGGTTTATTACTAACATCAACCTACATTCTTGTTAGTTTCCATCTGACAATGAAGTTCAAAGCCAAACCTTGAAGTTGGTAAATCATTCTTAATGGCTGGGTGATGTTGGAATGAGGCCATGATGGCTTAACAAGTAAGTTGGCTTGTGACGAGATGGGTGGTAAACAAATTTTAAACTAACAAACATACAAATAAATAATAAAGGTTTAAAGCTGCCTATTTTTCACCTCAGGTGAATTCAATGGCAATTCGAGAAACAGAAGGTTGACTAGAGGTACAGATGTAGATGTAGTCTCAACTTACAAGCGTTTATTTAGTGACCGTTTGAAGTTTCAACAGCACTGGAAAAAGTGACTTATAAGCACTTTTCACACTTATGACTGTTGCAGCATCCCCATGGTCACATGATCAAAATTCAGACATTTGACAGCTGACTGATATTTATGCCAGTTGCAGTATCCCAGGGTCACCTTTTGTGACCTTCTGACAAGCAAAGTTAATGGGCAAGCCAGATTCATTTAATAATCATGTTATTTACTTAACAACTGCAGTGATTCACTTAACAATTGTGTTTTGGTTAGCAACAGAAATTTTGGGCTCAGTTGTGGCCATAAGTTGAGGACTACCTGCATTGAAGATGGGGCAGCATGGCTGAGGAAGAGAAAAAAATTAGACAATGTGTCATGGCTGATGGGAGATTTAGAAGTTTCCCAACTCCAAAATGAGTCTGGATGACTTAAACTTAAAATAGAAAAGGCCAAGGCCAAGGCCTGGAAGACGTACCTCCTCTGTGCTGCTGAATGACTGTCACAAAGATGACAGTTTACTAACCATGCTCGCCCCAAACTACCAATACATACCATAGAGTCTCCAATCCAAACTTTCTGGCAGGATGAGGCCTGTGTAAATCTCCTCAGGGAAGGGCAGCCCCTTGTTGGGTGTTGTGCTCTTGAGCTTCCCCCTCATCACAGCCATCTCTTCCAGGGTGAGATCTGCCAAGTGATTCAGGGCCAGCTTAAATGGAAGGTTGGCTCGATTCTTGGAATGGACAAACCTGGGAAAGGAGGAGGAAGAGGAAGAGCTAAGCTAGGTACTGGATATCATCTAACTTTCTGACCCTTAAAGGCCCTTCTGTCCTAAGATCAAGGTGGGAGGGGAGAGTCAGCAAGTAATGGACACCCACCTAAAAAGTATCCTTTCTTTTCTTTCGTTTGGAAATTGTGCTTTCTTTACTTTCTTGATGACAAAGAAACAATTGAAATTTAAGATATGGCCCACATTTTGTACCTTCACAAAATGGTGGACATGGCGTCTGCTTCTTCGAGAAGCCACTTCACCACTCTCTGAGTGGTTTCACAGAGTCAGCATATTGCCACCAACAATCTGGGTCCTCCTTTTACTGACCTGGGAAGGGTGGAAGGTTGAACCAACCTTGAGCCAGTGGGAATCGAACTCCTGGTAGTGGAATGAAGAGTTAGCCTGCAATACTGCATTTCTAACCACTGTGCTACCACAGCTCTTAAGTGTGGATGCTCCCTTTTGTACCTTCTAATCACCCTACTGGTCACTGGCCCCACGATTTTGGGACTCTCAACTATCCAGGCTTGACCTCTGGATGAGTTTTTCAATCTTCACTTTTGGTAGCATATGAGAACTTTTGGCACCAGTTCTAAGCCTTGTTTGATTGCTGCTTGTTTTGACAAGTGTTGTTTTATAATGTTCTTGATTATGCATTTTAATCTCAGATGTAAATTAATTTCACCACTGATACTACAGGATAACATCAGAATGGTTTACATGCTAATGTTTCCAGGGACGCACAGACTTAAAACTTGGCTGGTGAGATGGGAAAAGAAGCTTTCACCTGGCCACCCATGTCTTTGTACAAATGACAATGAAAGCCTTTGAACTTGTGTTAAAATGATACGGCAGAGCTAAAGTCAGAATATTAAGGAATAGTAAAGAGGAAAGAGTGCAACCAATTATTTGTAGAATGTATCTTGGCCACCACGATGTAAAAAAGATGCTGAGACTCTAGAAAGAGTACAGAGAAGAGCAACAAAGATGATCAGGGGACTGGAAGCTAAAGTATATAAGGAACGGTTGCTGGAATTGGGTATGTCTAGTTTAACGAAGAGAAGGACGAGGGGAGACATGATAGCAGTGTTCCAATATCTCAGGGGCTGCCACAAAGAAGAGGGAGTCAGGCTATTCTCCAAGGCACCTGAGGGCAGGACAAGAAGCAAGATGGAACTAATCAAGAAGAGAAGCAACCTAGAACTAAGGAGAAACTTCCTGACAGTTAGAACTGGACGTTTTTAAGAAGAGACTGGACAGCCATTTGTCTGAAATGGTATAGGGTTTCCTGCCTGAGCAGGGGGTTGAACTAGATGATCTCCAAGGTCCCTTCCATCATCATCATCATCATCATCATCATCATCATCATCATCATCATCATCATTTTTTTTCAAGCCTTTCCTCCAATAATGAGCACATTTACTGATTACAGAGAAAGCTCTTCTGAGACAGGAAATGTTTTTCATCAGAATACAGAATAACAGAGTTGGAAGGGACCTTGAAGGTCTTCAAATCCAACCCCCTGCTCCAGCAGGAGACCCTATACCATTTCAGACAAATGACTGTCCAGTGTCTTCTTAAAAACCTCCAGTGTTGGAGCATTCACAGCTTCTGGATGCAAGTCATTCCACTGATTAATTGTTCTAGATGTCAGGAAATACTTCCTTGGTTCTAGGTTGCTTCTCTCTTTGGTTAGTTTCCATCCGTTGCTTCTTGTCCTGCCTTCAGGTGCTCTGGAGAATAGCTTGACCCCCTCTTCTTTGTGGCAGCCCCTCAGATATTGGAAGACTGCTATCATGTCACCCGCAGTCCTTCTTTTCATCAAACTAGTTCTTTTCTTCTCTCTCCTGTCCTTCTACCAACCCCCCTCCTTCCCTCTGCCTCTTCTCCTGAGGCTTTGCACCTCATGTTGTGGGTGAAGGTGTGCTTCCGATGGTCCATCTCCTGCTCAGTGTCATAGCTCTTTCCAAAGCGTTTTCTGTAATGGTGGAACAGGCTGTGGGCACGATCCTCCTGTCCACCAACAAAATCAGCCATGGGGTTGGCCATGATGTGGTGCTCTGTGGAATCTCCTGGCAGCTCATCACACACTTTTGTTTCTAGGGAGGAAGCACAATGCACATGTGGGTTTCGCAATACCCATGGAGCACTGAAATGCAACAGTCTACTTCACAAATCCAGAGAAATATTCTGAAACCAGGGAATCTGAAGACTTCTGAGGGCTAGGCTCTCCTATGGGTAGCTCTCGACTTACAGCCATTCGTTTAATAACCGTTTGAAGTTACAACGGTATTGAAAAAAGCAACTTACAGTCATTCCTTGCACTTAGCAACTGTTGCAGCATCCCTACGGTCACATGATCAAAATTTGGGCACTTGGCAACCAGCATGTTTCCTGCCTGAGCAGGGGGTTGGACTACATGACCTCCGAGGTCCTTTCCAATGTTGTTGTTGTTGTTGTTGTTGTTGTTGTTGTTGTTGTTGTTATTATTATTATTATTATTATTATTATTATTATTATTATTATTATTATTATTATTATTATGTATTTATGATAGTTGCAGTATACCGGGGTCATTGGATTGTCATCTGTGACCTTCCCAACCAATGTCTGATAAGCAAAGTCAATGAGGGAAGACAGATTCGCTTAATGACTGCATGATTTACTCAACAACTGCAGCGATTCACTTAGCAAACATGGCAAAAAAAAAAATCAGGCAGGAGTCAATCACCTTGTTTAGCAATAGAAATTCTGGTCCCAATTGTAGTTGTAAGTTGAGGACTTCCTGTATAGGGCAGAGAGAGGGAGAATCTTCCTAACTGGCAAATAGGGAGCCAGGGAGAAAGGATCAACAGCAGGAGAAGAGATTTAGTCACCCTAGCATGGATCCCTCAAAGACTAGCTGCAGGTCTTCCAGTATCAGTGGTCCTCAACTTCTGACCATGATTGAGCCCAACATTTTCACTGCTAAGTGAGGCAGTTGTTAGGGAGTTGCACCTCATTTTATGACCTTTTTTTGCCACAGTTAATTCCTGCAGACTATGAAATTTACAGGTTCATATTTGTCTTATCTTGTATTTCTACAAATATGTATCTTGATTTGAGCTGATAATTTTACATGCCCTAGAAAGTTCTTAAATGCTGTATAGCTGTGTTTCTCAATCTTGGCAACTTAAAAGATAGGAAGAATTCGACTCCCAGAATTCCAAAACCAGCATTCCTCTCTCTCTCAGCCCAACCTATCTCGCAGAGCAGTTGTTATAGGGAAAAGAGGAGGCAGGAGTATTAAGGTATGTTCACTGTCTTGAGTTAAAAGTGGGATAAAATTCAAATACTATGGAGAGCATGCAGCTTTAAGCCATGTTGGTCTCTTTTGCAGGAATAAATTCTTCCTAGCTTACATGATCGAAGTTGCCAAACATCAAATCACAATGGAAAACAGAGAAGGGAAGGGCACATATCCACAGGCCAGAAAGTCATTAAAAGAGCATATAAATTTCCAAGTGCCTTAAGCAAGGCCTATGGAGAGGGTGGAGATTGTATCTGAAGCTCTGTAATACAAGCCATAAATATCTGCCCAAATTAACATCATATATAATATCCCTGCAAGCTCCCTGATAGGGTGGAATGGAAGGAGGAGGAGGAGGAGAAGCTGGGTAAAGGCAGATGGTGTCGTTTTTCAGCATCTATATTGCTTTAGCTCCAGCTGATCCAACATTTTTAGATGAAATGTTGGGAGTCCCTTTCTCTGCAAGAAAACAAAAGGTCATTTGCAGGGCATTCTCCAATCTGCTTTTTGATTTGGGTGGCTGGAGTCAGTTTTGGCCTGTACTGCTAGGAACGGGAGCTGCGGGAGATGAAAAATGGCACTTGGAAAGCAATACAATTGTTGAGGTTTGCAAGATCAAAGGGGCACAGAAAGAAATAAGGAAACTGTTATCCCAGCTGAGAAAACTGTTAACTGTTTGCTGTTATTGCTATGCTGTTCCTTTCTCATAGTATACAGGTAGTCCAAACTCACGACGCCAACTGAGATCCGAATTCCTGTTGCTAAGCACGGCAGTCGTTAAGTGAGTCATGACTGATTTTACAACCTTTTTCGCCACGGTTGTTAAGTGAATCGCTGCAATTGTTAAATGAATCCTGTGCTCGTTAAGCAAATCCGGCTTCCCTCATTTGACTTCACTCGTCAGAAATTGGTTGGGAAGGTCACAGATGGGGATCACGTGACTCTGGGATGCTGCAATTGTCGTAAATACATGTTGGTTGTCAAGTGCCCAAATTTTGATCACAAGACCCTGGGGACGTTGCAATGGTTATAAGCGTGAAAATGGATTGTACTGTAAGTTGAGAACTATCTGTATTTACAGGTAGTCCTCGGCTTACGACCACAATTGAGGCCAAATTTCTGTGGCTGAGTGAGAAATTTGTTAAGTGAGTTTTGTCCCATTTTATTACCTTTCTCGCCACAGTTGTTAAGCGAATCAGTGCAGTTGTTAAATTAGTAACACGGTTGTTAAGTTAACCTGGTTTCCCCATTGACTTTGCTTGTCAGAAGGTTGCAAAAGGTGATCACATGACCCCAGGACACTGTGACCATCATAAATACAAGTCAGTTGCCAAACATCTGAATTTTGATCATATGACCACGGGGATGCTGCAATGGTCATAAGTGTGAAAATCGGTCACGAATCACTTTTTCAGTGCTGTTGTAACTTCGAATAGTCACTAAAGAAACTGTTGTAAGTCGAGGATATACAACACATTCCAACCATTCAATTATATAAAATGGAAAAAGCCATTCAGGAGAGATGTCAGCTGGTCAAGAGAAAGATCCTAAGAAGCCCCCTCTGTAGGGATCCCATAGTCCAGGGGTAGGCAACCTTGGCTCTTTTATGACTCGTGGACTTCAACTCCCAGAATTCCTGAGCCAGCATGGGGGAACTATGGCCCCTTCATGACTCGTGGACTTCAACTCCCAGAATTCCTGAGCCAGCCTTGCTGAGGGGAAAGGGAGAGGTTTCCAAGCTGAGCCATGCTGGCTCAGGAATTCTGGGAGTTGAAGTCCAAGAGTCATAAAAGAGCCAAGGTTGCCTACCCCTGCCATAGTCGGACCTTCTGAATGAGGGTATCCCTCCTGTAAAATAGCTTGACTCCATATATATGGATCACCATTTCTCTGAAGAAACCTTTTTCGCAGCCAAGTGGGACAGAATATTTTTTTCGGGGGGATATTAAATTTGGGATCTGTCCCTGTTGGGTTCCATCAATATGATTCACATTGTTTTGTCTTTGTTCTGTTAGTTTTTAATCCTTATTTTTGCTCTGGGCTGTTCACAGCTGGTTTCAAGAGGAGTGGCACAAAAATGACAGGGATGAATAAAGAAACAAATAACCAAGCAGGTTAAAGAGACGTTTGAGCTATTGGAGGAGCAGCATCCTGGCCACCCCAGAAACTGACCAAATAAGTAAGCCCATAAAGTTGGAAAAAATGCATGTCCCTTGCATACAGGTAGTCCTCGACTTACAACAGTTCATTTAGTGACCGTTCAAAGTTACAACAGCACTGAAAAGAGTGACTTATGACTGTTTTTCACACTTATGACCGTTGCAGCATCTCTGTGGTCACGTGATCAAAATTCACAGGCTTGGCAACTGACTCATATTTATGACTGTTGCAGAGTCATGTGATCAGCTTTTGCAACCTTCTGACAAGCAAAATCAATGAGGAAGCCAGGTTCACTTAACAACCATGTTACTAAATTAACAATCGCAGTGGTTTGCTTAACAACTGTGGTGAGAAAGGTCATAAAATGGGGCAAAATTCACTTAGCAACTGCCTCACTTAGCAACAGAAATCTTGGGCTCAGTTATGGTCGTAAGTCGAGGACCGTCTACATTTAATATCTCACATGGCTCATATGTTCTGTCAGAACCATAAAAAATAACAAGCCAGGCTACCTAATGCCAGATTAGACTACAGATGGCTTTCGTATGACAGAATTATAGAATCAGAGCTGGAACGGGCTTAGAGATCATCTAGTCTAATCCCCTGTGCAATGCAGGATCCATTATAGGATTTTATGCAGATGACTATCAAGATTCTGCTTGAAGACTTCAAACATAATTGACTAAGCCATAATAGTGGGCGTAATCAGACAATACAAACTGTAAGAGCTTGTCTTAAACCTCACATAAAAGCACACGTAACATATTATACAGTAGCTTTGCTCATGAACAAAGCCTATCCTCTGTCAGTTGCTCAAGGTAGAGCAAACAAGGAAAACAATGCCATCTAGGTTAATGCTACTTTTATTGTAAGGCTCTAGTAACAGAACTTTGCACATCTGAATGTGATTCATCTTTTATCTTCATGTGAACTAGAGAGGGGCTTATGCATGTGCTCCAACACTGGAGGCTTTTAAGAAGAGACTGGACCGCCATTTGTCTGGAATGGTATAGGGTCTCCTACTTGAGCAGAGGGTTGGGCTAGAAGGCCTCCAAGGTCCCTTCCAACTCTGTCATTCTGTTCATGCTACATTTTTGTCCTGGATTTGGATCCCTTTTATTGACAGCTACCTTGGTAGCTGCTCTTCCATCTATTCAGCAACGCCATTCCCTCTACACCAGGGGCTCCCAACCAGAGGTGCTCACACCTCCTGGGGGTGCGAGACAATACTCCAGGGTGTGTGTGAAAACGGGTTTTCAAAATTATAGTGTATATGCATAATTCGTTGCAGATATTTCGAACTTTTGTAAGTGGTGCGAGAATACATCAGAAGTGTTCTAGGGGTGCGGGGTATAGAAAAGGTTGGGAGTCGCTGCTCTACACTTTTGTTCTCAATCTTTATAGTTTATTCTGAGTAGTAAAACCATCTGATTGCTATCCAACCCAACATGGAGATTTAACTTGAGAATTTACCTCTTAGCTTCAGTTTTTCTCGCTCAAAAGAGGGTCTGCTTGGGCATGACACCTGGTTCTGATCCCTGCTGAGTTGTGAAGTTTGCAATGATGGCCATCCTCCCTGAACACAATGGGCAAAAGTTCGAGGGCCATCTCCCCAAATATTTTTGAACACAGGCAGGAGATAAATCCTTCCGACTTACCATTTGATTTCAGGACAAAGATGGAAGCTGGGAAGCTATTGGAGAAGTCACTGTAATCAATTTCATACTTGTCGTAGTGGGATCCCAGCAAGTTGTTGTAACCCTTCATCTCGTAATGTACTGGGGTGACTCCACAGCTGGCGTTGGTCACCCACATTGTATAAATATTCTTCTTGTTGCCCCAGTGGGTTGTGCTCTGCCACACGGAGGTGTATATGCTTTTGTAGTATTCTTCTCTTACAAACTGGAGGAACAGCAGAGAGAAGCCATTGAAAAAGGCACATGGGAAATTGCATTGTACCAATAAAGGAGAATATTTGTAACTCAGGGTGAAATGAGGGGTTCTTGGTGCTCTCTGAACTTGGTTGCTTTCTTGCAGGCTTTTCATTACCCAAACTAGCACTGATGATGTTACCTAGTTTGGGTAATGAAACTTCTGCAAGAAAACAACCAAACTCAGAGAGCACCAAGGATCCTTCAAACTGCTTTGTTCCAGTCAAGCTTTTTGATTGTGATTGCATACTGCACAAAGCCTGGTTCTTTGTAACTATGTACTGAAAAACAAAACCCACAATTGGCTAAAGTCAGTCAAGATACTGCACCGGAATTCATGGCTTGCAAACCACAGTATAGCCAGGCTCAAACATCACAACAAACTAAAGCTACATGATTGCTTAGGATAATATATGATCCCAGCCTTGAGTCAACCCTGGGGGGGGGGGGGAGTAAAAAGTCCCAGTATCCTCTTTGGTGCCCTCAGATTCATCCAGAGCTCAATGTTTCACTGTTCTCCTGCTTTGTTAGAGTTTGGAGAATGGCTTTAAGAAACAATGGGAATCATCTTTGCAGAGGTTTGGGGAACTTATTTTATATTTTAAATCCTCTGGCTTCTCCTTTGTCTCCATCTTCTTTTGGAGTGTAGCTCTGGCATGTTATAGAGAAGCCTGGGTGGTCTTTCAGCCAACAGGAGTCACACACTAGTTGTCTTTTTCAATTGGCAGTTCAATTTTCTGGAAGAAGAATTTCTCACGGCTGATTTAATCCATACAGAAGTAATGATTGCTAGTGATACCAGGTGTTGAATTTGGCACCTCTACGAAGAAAGCAGGGGCTCTCCTGTTGAATTATCATTCCTTCCCCCAACTGGCACAGCTTTCGTTTATAAGTGGAATAGAGGTTATCAACGTTATCCCAAGTGCCTTTTCACCTAAAGGAAAACCACGTGGTAACAGGTTGCAAGGAACCCACAACACTCTTTGGACCTGTTAAAGAATCGCTCTTTCTCCTGTGGGCTCTTGGTTTTCCTACTTCCAGCCAAATAGCCCACATCCCAAGTAGTTAAGAAATCCAGCTTCTAAGGCAGTTCTATAAGCAGTTAAGGACACTGAGCTTGTCAGCTGGAAAGCTGACAGCCTGGGTTTGATAACTGGACCCTGCAGCATGGTATGAGCTCCCATCCCTTGCCCCAGCTCCTGTCAATCTAGCACAGGGGTCTTCAAACTCGGCCCTTTTATAACTTGTGGACTTCAACTCCCAGAATTCCTCAGCCAGCGTGCCTGGCTGAGGAATTCTGGGAGTTGAAGTTCACAAGTCATAAAAGGGCCAAGTTTGAAGACCCCTGTTCTAGCAGTTTGAAAGCATGCAAATGTGAGTAGATAAATAGGTACCACTTTAGTGGGAAGGTAGCAGCATTCCATGCACCATGGTGTATAATCATGCTGGCCACATGACCACAGAACGGTCTTCAGACAATGCTGGTTTTCTCAGTTAAGAAATGGAGATGAGCACCGTCTCCTAGAGTCAGACATGAGTGGGCAGGGGAAACCTTTGCCTTTATCAGAAAGACAGGCTGCCATGATTCAGGGGTCTTTGAAGGCAAGGAGGATTTTGAGTCCTGCATTAGCAAATTAGCAAAACAACACTGCAACGTTTCTCGCCCACATCTGTAGCATCATGCTTTTCCAGACAGTGAGTTGGCATAGGTCAAATAACAGCTTGCCATCAGATGTGTGTGACAAATGCCACTTTGAGCAGCCATCGCAGAAAGAGATTTCATTACTGTCAAGACAACAGCATCTGGGTGAAACTTGCTTTGCAATTTTATTAGAAACTTGGCACGGGTAGCAGCGGCTTTGCTGCAGAAGGAAGTGGCTGACTCACTGAGGCAAAGGGCTGGCTGAGCTGGCTGAGGATCTGTCCATGTGCTATTCTCAATTGGAACAGCTTTTTCAGGCCTATCGAAAGAGGGGAGGGCTGGGATATTAGTGTTTCCCATGGCCTGTCGAAAGAACTGGGGTGCGCCGAAAGTACAGTGATTCTTGGAGCCATCAAAGATGGACTGGTCTCCAAAGGCAGGTGAGCTGGGGAGAGACTGCAGCTCAATAGTAGAAGGTCTGCTTTGCATGGAAAAGACCTCCAATAACAGAAAAAAATATTTTCTGAAACTACACATTCCAACCAATGGCTGAAATGTTTTTTTTTTATTTCCTAAATAAAATATTTCCTAAATGAACCACAATTTAACCAAGTCCAGGCTACATTATAACCGTGATTCACAAATCACATTGACTATGTTTACACAACACGCTAGCAAATCATAAAACCCACATTACAATTTTGGTGCTACATCAATCCAACTAATGTGGTTTGTTCAGTTTGGCCCAACAAGTGGAGAAAACCTGGCCATTAGGGCCTGTAAACCACAGGTTATAGCTTAGTGAAATGTACGCGCAAGTAATGTCTTATTCAACAAGCCATGTTGACTATCATTGTTTTGCATGATGGGTGAATCTTGCACTTGGTCAAGTGCTGCCAATACTTGCCAAATAAGACACAGAAAGCTATAATTTAAATATCTCATGGTCCACCCAAAATGCCAGAGGGAAACTTGCAACGTGAACGGTATTTTTTCCCAAGTTCAGTCTTACAGAAATGTGTTGGGCAGAGAAAGGGTGAAATTATTCAGATTTTTTTAAAAAAATAGTGCAAGCAGAGACAAAAGATTTCATAGGGATGATTTTCCTTGCATGTAAGAAAAAAATAGAAATATAGGATGCTTGATTCACTGTGGACACCACAAACTGTCAGATTCTCCTATTTCCACCCACCCCTGAACAAGTGGAGAATACTTTGCATTGCCAAAATTCTTCACAATTTTTTCTGGTTTTGACCAACTCTACCCTGCAATTCACATTTAGTCATAAGCAACTGAGGTTAAGAGAAGCTGGTTATGCTTAGACATAAGGTATGTTCTTATGTCTTTGAAGATTGGTTTGGCTTGGCTACCATGATTAAAAACAGACCACAGCTTAGCCTGATGCTGGAACTCAACAATAATGAGAGTTGCTTGTTTTCTTCTTCCTATATTGTGGGAGCCCCAACTATTGTGATTTGTAGACTCTAGTTATGGCTTTCTAAGTGCTCTCCATGCTTGGAATGCCATAACTAGAGTCTACAATCACAATGGTTGGGCTCCCACAACATAGGAAGGATGGAGAACATGGAGAGCACTTGCCTATAAAGTCACCAGGTATCAGACACGACTGAATGGTTAATACAACCTAAAGTTATGACTTAGTATGTGATAACCCAGATACAGGTAGTCCTTGACTTATGACCACAATTGAGCCCAGAATTTATGTTGCTAAGTGAGAAGTTTGTTAAGTGAGTTTTGTCCCATTTTATGACTTTCCTTGCCCCATTTGTTAAGTGAATCACTGCAGTTGTTGAATTAGTAACATGGTTGTTAAGTGAATCTGGCTTCCCCATTGACTTTGCTTGCCACAAGGTCGCAAAAGCTGATCACATGATCTCAGGACCCTGGGACACGGCAACCATCATAAATATGAACCAATTGTCAAGCTTCCAAATGTAAATCACATGACCATGGGGATGTTGCAACGGTCATAAGCGTGAAAATTGGTCAGAAGTAGAGAGTCCTTGACTTACCTTGTTTAGTGACCCTTCAAAGTTACAATCGCATTGAAAAAGTGCCACTGTAACTTTGAAGGGTCACTAAATGAACTGTGATAAGGAGTATCTATACTGTGGCCCACTTCACAAACCATGAGGTAACAGCTGTGTGAAGGTAGGCAGTGTCTTTTCTCATAGATCAGCCAGCCAACTTTCCAGATCCAAGCATGGATTCCTTTTTCTTCTCCAGCTGCTGAGCATCGTTGACTCACCTTGAAATCTTTCATGCTGGGAAAGACCCCTTGTGGCTTCACTTGGCTTTCTTTGGTGCCATTTAACAGGAAGCACTTCTGAATATTGACCACATTTTCTGTGGTTGCTGGTGTAATCTTGAACAAGGCACCATAGGGCTCTAAACATCCAAGCTGCAGTGTCACCACCTGGCCTGCAAAACATGACAATGTGAGCAATGGTAAACACAAATGAAGAAGGAAAGAAATGTGGCTAAGCCACAAAGCACACACTTTGCGTATGCACTAAGAACCTCTGGCTTTCCTAAGTAAAGAGAATATGTAGTAAGACGCAATCTGTTGAAACTGCTTCCTAGGAACCCATATAGTTGTGCAGAGCTCCCAATTCAAAGGGCAAAATATAATTTGGAGCAGATCCATGCATGTTCCAAACCACAATTTCCCTTCAAGTCCAGATTTCTCCACACCCCCAATCCCCAAGGCAAACAAGAATGCAACAGAGCAGCCAGGCAATTTTTTCTTTCACTTCTCATTCAATTGGATAAAAGAAAGAAAGAACAGTTGCTGGAACTGGGTATGTCTAGTCTAATGAAAAGAAGGACTAGGGTGACATGGTAGCAGTGTTCCAATATCTAAGGGGTTCCCACAAAGAAGAGGGGGTAAATTTATTCTCAAAAGCGCCTGAAGGCAGGACAAGAAGCAATGGATGAAAACTAATCAAGAAGAGAAGCAACCTAGAACTAAGGAGAAATTTCCTGACAGTTAAGACAATTAATCAGTGGAACGATTTTCCTCCAGAAGTTGTGGGTGCTCCAACACTGGAAGTTTTAAAGAAGAGATTGGACAGCCATTTGTCTGAAATTGTATAGGGTCTCCTGCTGGAGCAGCAGGTTGGACTAGAAGACCTCCAAGGTCCCTTCCAACTCTGTTTTTCTGTTAATTTGTGTTGAAGAAGAAGAGCATTTGGAGAAGTTTTCCCCCGGTGGAATGTGGTTTCTTGCACTCATTTAGCAATGAGGCAGATGAAGCATCAGTCAAAGTTCTCTCTGGTGACCTGCAGTCTCTTGGGCTCCCCACATTTCCAATCACAGGAAAAGAATTGAAGAGGAAATTCTCCCACGGGACTTTTCAGAGTGATGTTACAGTCACCATTAGAAGGAAGTTCTGTCCTTGAGACATTACGGCAAAATTCTCCTTTCCCTGGGGAAATTCAGAGAAGCCACCCCAGAATTTCTTTGCAGAGAAAATCTGGTGGCTCATTTTTTTAAAAAAATTGATATGGTAAAAGTATTTTAAAAATTAAAAGAAAAACAGAGAGAAAAAAAAGAAATGTCCTTTGTGTTCAACAAGCAAGCTGATACAGATTTTGAGAGGGGGCAAATGTGGACTCTAAAGACATGGATGATCTTGGAAGGAGTGGGAGGATTTTTCTCATGGTTTTCAAGGAGTAGGATGCTGGTATCCTGATAAACTTCCTCGGCATCTTTTTTGTAAGGTCAGTCTCCCCTCCCAACTGAAAAATGCAAATCAGTTCCTTAATATACTATTTGCAGGAGGTGAATGAGGGGAAGGCAGATTTTCAGCCAGTACAAGGAAATTCCTGGGGTATGTAGAGGATTATGCCTAAATTTCTTTCTTCCATACAAATGAATTCATTAGATCTCCTGCTGCCTAACTGGGAGCACTTCTTCATACAGAGATAAAATAGAAGCCCATTAGAGAGACGCCCATATCTTCTCCAGTGGAGTTTCCTGGCAGTCTTTATGAGTTGGGGAACTGTCCTTATAGTCATCTAGCTTAGTTGTTTCCCTATGCTCTGTTGACTTCCTATGGTGACTGGGTTCACGTCCTGAACTGTGGTTGGTGGGATGGTTATCTCAAATGTTTGACAGTGAATGCAGCTCACATGTATATGTGGGTGGGAAGCCACCATAGTTTGGAGAAACCATCACAATCGACTAGCTTCACATAACATAAAAAGCCACAAGCCATGTTTTAAGTCTGAAAGGTAAGGTTCACCCACCACCCAAAGCCCAAACCACATGCAATTTGTGAACCAGATCTTGGCAGTGGCACTCCATCAATTTAAATTGGAGAGTTTTACGATGGAGTTCCAAAGCTGCTTTTTTCAAGAGGCAACTGGACTTTCTTGCTTTTCTTTGAAGACGTTTTGCTTCTCATTCAAGAAGTTTCTTCAGCTCTCTTGGATGAGAAGCGAAATGTCTTCAAAGAAAAACAAAAAAAGTCCAGTTGCCTCTTGAAAAAGCACCTTTGGGACAACCATGACCTGGATGACTGAGAATCTGCATAGACTTTTACAATGTAATGATCAAGGACTAAACTCTGAACTTGCTACGTTCAAAACACATGTACTCTTTTCACTAAGCTACAGTAGCTCAGATTCATTCAATGAGGTCTTCACTGGGCTGGAGTTTTCCTGCTAATTCATTGTTAATCACAGAACTGTGGAGTTGGAACAAACCGTGGGAAAGGTTCTTTGGATAATCAAAAGCCAAGGACGAGCTGAACCAGGAAGAATCTGTTTGAACAGACTGTCAGCCTCTCGGCAGGTTGGTCCAGCAAACAACCTTTCTAGCAATCATGATGAATTTTTGCTTGATGAATTATATGTCCGTCTGAACATACATGTGCATGGAAATGTAACACCACGCTAGAGTGGATTATAACAATGATCTACCAAAGATCAGCAGAAAGTCAAAGTACAGCTGATGGATAAAAGTACTTTACCGTGCATCACGATGTCTGTGACCAAAAGCTGACTGAGAGCACCTCAACCATTCCTTTAACCGTCCTCTAAATTGTAGCAATATTTCATGACAAGACTGATGAAAATTGGCTAGCCAGAGCCCAACACTTTCAGGTTATAAATTAGGAGAAAAAAGAGGTGCTCTGGGTATATGTGTGTGAAGCGTGTAAGGGTGTGCATGTAGTGTGTAAGAGCTCCTCTAATCAATAGCTGTTTTATGGGTTGCTTTTTTGCCTGCTGCTTTGCTCACTGTCTTCTCCACCTTGAGAAATCTTTCTGGAACCAGGAAGCTATAAGACAACTTTGCTGACTATCTGATTAATAATTTAGATAGCCTTTCTGCTTACATTAGCTGGGAAAATCATGTTGATCAGCAAAGTGTACCTCTAATTAGCTGTGCTAAGATTGAGAAATCTAAAGGGACCACAGTATTCAAGCCCTGATCCAGTAAAACAATGAAATTGCCATAATGTATGCTGCTGCCTTCTGTAGTTGTCCCCTGGGGACAGAGATCCTAAGAGGAACAATGCTCCTCCTTCTATGTCCCCCCCCTCCCAAGAGGGACCAGCCCAATCCTCTGCCATGTGCAAGAAAACCAACGTTATTCCATATATTGCATTTGTTTTTGTGTCACCCCTATTCTTGAGACAAGGTCCTTGGTGCTCTCTGTTTGGTTGTTTTCTTGCAGGCATTTCATTACCCAGCTAGGTAATATCATCAGTGTGAGAAGGAAGCAGGGTTTGCTCTCTGTTTTGTTTTGTACTTTTGCCAGATCCTAGGGAATTGGAGGCAGGTGATCATTTTATCCTCTCTTAGCCTTTCCTAAAATTACCTTTTAATGTGAAATTTTATATCTATTGTTTTGATATTAGTTGTTTTATTCCATTCAGAGTTGCTTTGGGGGAGGCAGGCAGCTATACTACTTTGATTAATAAATAGTAAATCTTCAGAGTTGGGTCAACATATTCTGGTTTGCTATTGACCTGTTTGACCCCTTTGGGGGATTTTCTTTTCCCAAAACTAAATCTTCTGGTTCTTCTCTTTTTATTTAGTGAGGGCACCAGTTTCTTACCATTATAATATTCAATGCGACTCTTGTTGCCAGTTAAGTTATACCAGGCTTCGAACGGCTCTTCAATTTCAGCGTAAGGGAGATGGATGATTCCTGCAGGACACGAGGAATGACTTGGATCAATCAAACATTTGCTATAGAAAAGGGTTATTTAGGGTTATTGATGTTGGAGATGACCAGGCTGAGCCCGAGGGTGGGGTCAAATGCATTATCAGTTTGGAATCTCTATGTCCTCATCATTTAACAACTGTAAAAAATTGCTTAACAACCATGGCAAAAAGGTCATAACATTGGGTGAGATTCACTTAACAACCACCTTGCTTAGCAACAGAAATTCTGATCCCAATTGTTATCATAAATTGAGGACTACCTATATACAGTAACAGATTAAAATTCTCCAAGCACTTCATACAGTATATCTCTGTTTAAGGATCCTGGGAATTAAGTTCAGCACATCCAGACAATGCCAGTTGGCAACAGTGATCTGCATTAATGTCATAACCATTACACTCATTCTTTCAAGTTGCCTTGTGCAGAATGGGTATCATACTGGCCAATCAGGGACCTACGTCATTCTAAAAATCAACTCTAGCTTGCCCAAAGCCACCAAGATAAACGTTTGATGGAAGAGGTATTTCAGAATGAATGGACAAACCTCTAAAATTAATTTGGAGCAAAAGAGGAGAGCATCCAAAATGTAGACACAAATCCCACACATTTTCAACAATCTTTGCATTTTTAAAAAAATGTTTATTATATTATAAGCTGCCCAGAGTTGCTGTATTACTGAGATGGGCAGCACAGAAAATACATACATACATACATACATACATACCATACCATACCATACCATACCATACCATACCATACCATACCATACCATACCATACCATACCATACCATACCATACCATACCATACCATACCATACCATACCATACCATACTCTAGAAAGAGTGCAGAGAAGAGTAACAAAGATGATTAGGGGACTGGAAGCTAAAATATATGAAGAACGGTTGCAGGAATTGGGTATGTCTAGCTTAATGAAAAGAAGGACTAGGGGTGACATGTTCCAGTCTCTAAGGGGCTGCCGTGTATTCTCCAAAGCACCTGAAGGTGGGACAGAAGCAGTGGATGGAAGCTAAGCAAGGAGAGAACCAACCTAGAACTAAGGAGGAATTTCTTCACAGTGAGAACAATTAATCAGTAGAACAACTCGACTCCAGAAGTTGTGGGTGCTCCAACACTGGAGGTTTTCAAGAAGAGATTGGACAACTATTTGTCTGAAATGACGTAGGATTTCCTGCCTGAGCAGAGAGTTGGACTACTAGAAGAACTTCAAGGTCCCTTCTAACTCTGTTATTTAGCTAGCTAGCTAGCTAGATAGATAGATTCCATCTTTATGTAAGAATTGTTGGGCCTACTTATGTAAAAGACCAACAAAAATCCCTTTTTTCAAACTTTGTTTCTAATGTTTTAACATCAACAAGCAATTTAGCGGAAAAACAAGGAAAGCGATATTTTCCATCCCAAAGGAAAAACACGAACTTCACAAAGGTCTGTTCAATTTTAATCTCCTGGAGCAACTTTTCCAATTAGGCAGTGACAAAACGAGAGATATTGCATCGATAACTATTAATTTGCGTGCCATTTTCTTGGAAATAGGGCATGTCTAGGGTTTGGGTTTGATTTTCTTAAAAAAATGTGTTTGGTGATCTCTCAGGCTCCACCATGGTTATACTAGAGGCCTGGCTAGGTGGGAATTCCATCACCGTTGTTTGGGCAACTGCCTTCTTCACATATATTATGAAATAAATATAAATTGCAGGTTTAAGTTTTACTTTAAAGAAAAACAAGCTGATTGTGTGATTAATGAGATCTATCTTTACAGTTAATGTTATGCTTTTATGTTGTTAAGCCGAACATGTTCTCTCTCCTCTTATGGCGATCCTGTTCTTCTTTCTTTCTACAAAATTCAAGCAAACTGTTAAAACGTGAGGAGAGTACAGAGCAGCCCTCTGTTGGCATTTAGGAAAGGAAAGGGATTAACTTTTATTAAATAACTTAAAACAGGTTGCAAAGAGGTTCCCTTAATATTAGAATTGATCCGAAAGCTGTCAGTCCTATCTTTCTCTGTCCCTAAATATGCACTCATAAATCTGTCAATTTGACAGATGGAGGCTTGACTGGGAGGACAATGAGTCTCCCTTGATCCAGCCTTCCACTCATGCCTCCCAAATACCTCTATCCTCAATTCTCCTTACCTCCAGAATACAATCTCAGAGGCAATTCCCTGTGCTCCCATTGATTGACAGTTCTAATAACCAGTCAGCACATAAGCACTAGAAGTCTTTTGCTGATTAGGGAGGTATATAAATCAATCAATCTCCTATGTGCCACAACTGACTCAGAGCAGTTGTGAGGTTGGTGTATCACAGGTCTTTTTTTTAGATCTTCAGGGGTTCCCAACGCCCCCCCCCCCCAAAAAAAACCTGGAAACCCAGGAAAACAAATGCCTATTTAAAATGTTTTGGATCAGAAATCAATCTTGACTTCCAACTGGTCCTCATATTTATTGACTGTTGCAGCAGCCCTATGGTCACATTATCAAAATTCGGGTGCTTGGCAACTGGCCTGTATTTACGATGGCTGAAGCATCCCAAAGTCATGTCATTACCATCTGCAACTTTCCCAGCTGGCTTGTGACAAGTAAAGTCAATGGGGGAAGCTTGCTCTGCATGGCCACAAGATTCACTTAAGAATCATGGCAAAAAAGTTATAAAATCAGGTGCAAGTCACTTAATAACTACCTTACTTAGCAATGGAAATTCTGATTCCAATTGTGGCCATAAGTTCAGCACTACCTGTACTAAGCCCAAAATTGAGTTTTAAAAATAAAATCTCCTACTCTTTCCTCCTTTGGCATAGAATACCCAAAGTGCTGTATAGAACAGGCAGATTGGACAAAAATTCCAGGAAGAAGTGAAAGAAATCACATCATAAAAGCTTCCTCTGCTTGCTCCCAAGGAAAATGTAACGTTTTAAAGCTGGGTAATTGCTTTTTGTCCATATATGGTTTTTCAGCCTGGAGTGAAGTTATACAACTGGGATTTGCCAGGCAGCTATTAACATCCGTGAACCCATGTGTACGTGTGCCAAAGCAAAAAAGGCACTTTGCACAACTTCAAAAGGACTGTCCCTCCTGTGGAAGGAAGGGATGTATCTGGTAGCAAAGCTTCCAAAGCAGGCATGTCAAACTCGCAACGTCACGTGACATCGCACGACGTATCGTGACTTTTTCCCCATTGCCGGCAATGGGGTGGGTAAGATTTTGGCATGATGCATCCGGCCTGCGGGCCGGCAGTTTGACATGCCTGTTCCAAAGGCTGTTCTAATAGACATTAATGATTCTCAGCCTTTGATTCAGCAAATTTTAAGATCCTGTCACCAGATAAAATCATTCATGGAAAGATACACCAGGTTCAATAAATCTGGATGCCTCTAGATTTCTCCTAAGATTTGCAAAAACCTACACAGGTAAACTAAAAAGGGAAGAAGCTTAAAGCAAGGCACTCCCCGGAGAAAACTCTGCCCAGGTAGGTTAGCAGGATTCTGACAAGCTCCCCACCCTTTTATGTTTGGCTAAGGGGAAGATGCCAATTATAGTCTAAATTTCGCTTCCTGTCAAATCTTTGCTGGTGCAAACTTGCATTTTCAACGCACCCATAACCCACAGTAATAAAAAGAGCCTAAATTGGGTAGTTCACAAAAATGATTGCAAAATGTAATGCAACATTGCACAATTGAGAAAAGTGTGTGGAAGAAAAGGCAGTATGAAATGTGCACACATCATAGCTTAGATGGCCAATTATTTTATCTTGGCGTGCAGTAAAACCTGAACCCTGAAACACCGGTCTATTCTAGCTCTTCATTGGGGGATTTTCACATTTTCACATTTCAAATATTGGTAATTATTGGCTTAGTATATTGAGAGAACCTAATCACTATTGTTTATGAACATGGCTTAGGGCAGTGGTGGCGAACCTATGGCACGGGTGCCAGAGGTGGCACTCAGAGCCCTCTCTGTGGGCACGCGCGCCATCACCCCAGTCCTAGGCCTTCAGCTGCATTTTATAAAACCTTTTCGCTTTAGGCCTCCACCGCCCTTTGTAAAACAAAAAAAAGGTTCAATCAATCAGTCAATTTCAACTTCTCCAGGGGGAAAAAAGATCTTGCAAAGTTGGAATTGATTGATTGAACTTTTTAGTCCCACCCATTCTGCCGTTACCATTGCAGCCACGCCCACCCAATGGGCCACACCCACCCAGCACCCGACGATGCGTAAGTGGGTTTTGGGTTGCAGTTTGGGCACTCAGTCTCTAAAAGGTTCGCCATCACTGGCTTAGGGTATGGTATGAAGTCAGCAAACCAGTTAAAGAAACCATGACTTAATGTATCATGTGAACTTGATTGCATCTATTATGAAAGTTTGATCTTTAACAAATTACTTGTTCTCAGGGAAGACATAAAGCTGTTATCTTTAGAACAGGAATGGACAACCCTCCAGATGTTGTGGAATTATAATTGCAATTGTCTTTAACCAAGGATTGTGATAGCTAGGGCTGATGAGATCTGGCATTCAAGAACATCTTAAAGATCACAGATTCTCTGCTTGAAGCAAAGAAGACTAAATAAGAGAATTATATGATATGCCCTCAGAAAGTCAACAGGTGTAATCACCAATATCCAAAGTGTAATGTTCCAAAGCGGGGGCGTCCAGCCTTGGGAACATTTAAGACTTAAGTTGAAGTCTACAGGTCTTAAAGTTGCCAAGCTGGACACCCCAGTCCAAAAGATATTTCCACATTCCCAGCTGTGTCTGGAGAGATGCCCAGAACATTAACTTCATGATAATAGCTATCTACTGTGGTTTATAAAGCAGAGGTTCAAGATCAGAGCCAGCCCCTGTATTCTATTTAAAAGGAATTGCAAGGGGAAATGACAAATATGGTTTGAAAATTGGGTAGCTGAGTTACCCAGGTCAGATTTTTTTAGTCAATGTCAAGGAAAACAATTAAGAAGTGGCTTAGTCAATGGCTTCCCAAAAGGCACTCTGGATGGAACTTACCTTTGACATGGTAGAGAGCTCCAAAATCTGGGGTGGTGTTAGAATAATTGCACGCATTTCCTGAAAGAAGAGAAAATAAAGGTGAATGTAAATGTTGAATTCCATTACGCTGCCATCAGATTTTCTGCAGAAACAAAGGAACAAAGAATGGGAAAGCTAGAAGAGGAGGCTAGCATTGCAGTGTTGCCATCATTGGGTTCACATATGATGTTAAGCCATATCGTGGTCTGCTTGTTTTTCGGTATAGTGCATTGTACCAATCAAGCTTAGTAAATTAAGATGCATGGTTCAATATGTTGCACAAATTTGGCCAATTGTGGTTTATTCCAGTCAGGGTTGTTTAGCACAATGTATAGGTCATCTGTGACTTACAACTGGACGCTTAGTGACCACCATTAGTAAATCAAGGGGCATGGTACCATTAGTAAATCAAAGAGACATGGTTTAATATGTTGCACAAATGTGGCCAAACCACAATCCAGTCAGGATTATGTTTAGCACAATGTACAGGTAATCTTTGACTTAAGACTGAATGCTTAGCGACCACTTGAAATTGTGACAGACCCATCTTGAGGCTAGGATTCTAAATTCTGATGGCTAACCCCCCCCAGTCATGTGACTGAACATGATCACATTTATGTCCTACATTCAAGGGGTGTTTTTGGATGGTTTTGCCAAAAAACTGGCATTTACATCTGTTTTTTGTCAAAACTGTGCCCGGAGCAAATCATTCATTCATTTACTATCTATGGCATTTGCTTAACAACCACCACCACAAAAAAAAGTTGCAAAATCATCCTGTTTACGACCAACACAACTTATAACTGGGATGGACATAAGTTGAGGACCACCTGTATGAATCCCAGCTGTAAACCTCTTGCTATTTGCTTCTGTGAAAGTGCAATTAAGTGACAATTAGAAAATCAATACCATCCTGCTTTTAGTTCTTCTTTGTAATTGAGTCACCTTGGAACAAGTTAGAAACAAACACACCTTCCAGCCTAAGTCCTCCTATCTGCATTAGAGGGGACCATAATACAGATTTATAAGCCATGGTTGCTGTGTTTATTACAGTGAAACAATACATGCAAAGTGCTTCCACGTTTCAAAGTGGATGCATCTCACCCTGGTAGACATCCACATATCAAGCAACGACAACAAATTTATGGTACTAAAAATGGCTGGCAGAGTTGCCCCAAATTTACTTCATTGCTAATAACAAAAATAATAATTCATGTTGGCACACCATTCTTTCACACCTCTACAGTTTATTGCAGTTATAGTTTAGATCAACCTAGTGCCCCTCATTAGAGCCCCTCTATGAGAAACTGCATTAAGAAGTTCAATAGAAAAAGAAAGGAAGGAAGGAAGCAAGGAAGGAAAAAGAAAGAAAGAAAGAAAGAAAGAAAGGAAGGAAGGAAGGAAGGAAGGAAGGAAGGAAGGAAGGAAGGAAGGAAGGAAGGAAGGAAGGAAGGAAGGAAGGAAGAAATTCATGTATATAAATCACATAATAATGTTACAGGTTTACAATCTTGTGGGGCTGCATTACATCCAGGGCTGCATGCGGCCCATTGGCCACGGATTGGACACGCTTGATCTAGAAGATGCCAAGTTTGGAAATCCTGATTTAGATGTGAGCACATGCCAAACAGATATCCTGGTTATCTTCAGATTACCTACTCCACTCTAAATAGAATTTGCCAATATCCAAGATGCATACGAATAAGGCATATTAGACTAGAGAACCTCCAAAGTCCACTTGAACTCTTCAATTCTAAGTGTCTCCTGCCAAGCTTTGGACCTCAAGCAAGGAAGTAAGCATCTTGATCAAGAGACAAGGGACAGAGTCTTGGAAACTGCAATAGAAACCTCAGATTGACCATTTGTTATTGCTGAGTTCATTAAGAATCTCTTTGTACATTTCTAATCTCTCCTCTCCAGTCTTTTAAAAGTCTGGACTGAGCTGCCATTTATGGTGTAAGCTTCTAAGAAACTCCTATCCCATCTATTGTTTAAGTCTAAAGTTGCTCCAATTTCATTGTCTTTATATATTTTATGGAAACTTTTAAACAAAAAGATAAAATCTGACACAAAGTAATATAAAGTAAGGGAGAAAAAAATTTAAAAAGGCAAAAAAGTGGAAGGAAAGAATTTTTTAAAAAAATATATACTGAAGTTGCTCTCAATATTCTTCATAGCCGTTATAAGTACAGTTACATTTTAACCTCTCTCTCTAAAGTTAAATCATGCCTCTCTTCTTTCTATAATCTATCTTGTCTTATCATCGTGACCATAAATCATATATACAGGCAGTCCTTGACTTACAACCATTTGTTTAGTGACCATTCAAAGTTGCAACAATAGTGAAAAAGTGACTTATGGCAGTTTTTCACATGACCATTGCAGCATTCCCATGTCCATGTGATCAAAATTTGGGTGCTTGGCAACTGGCATGTCTTTATGTTGGTTGCAGTGTCCCAGAGTCACCTTTTGCGACTTTCTGACAAGCAAAGTCAATGGGGAAGCCAGAGTCATTTAACAACCATGTTACTAACAACTGCAGTGATTCACTTAACAGCTGTGGCAAGAAAGGTCATAAGACAGGGAAAAACTCATTTAACAACCATCTTGCTTGGCTATGGAAATTTTGGACTCAGTTGTGATCATAAGTCAAGGACTACCTGTATTTGAGACATGAAAGACTAAAAAATAAAAAGAGGAAAAGAAAAGAAAAGAAAAGAAAAGCAAACAAAAGAAAAATTGAGCCCAAATCCAAAATTGGGTTCAGGGAGCATGTAAAACCCAAGTTAACAATAACATGGTCCCTGTACTATCATTAACATTTTATGTCAAAACATATTATAGCTTCAAGAGACAACTCAGCTCAGACAATATGGTGGGTCAATGGCTGGATTCTTACAACAAACCAAACCACAAACTATCCTCAACCTCATTATAGCTTAGTCCAAATACTGTGTGAAACTTGACCATGTAGATTGAGTTGAGTTGAGTACTCTCCTTTTGACTGAGACTTCAAAGCGTATCAGTTCGTGTAAGATTCATCCCTGTTATTAAGCAACTTCACTTGGAAAAATACAACCCTGGCCAAATCACAAAAACAAGGCACCACAACCAGAAAATGGAGTTGATTCTTTCTTTAAAGTCAGCATTTTCCATGACCGCAGCAGAATTGAGCAAGGCTACTTGATGAAGAAGAGATAAGCTGCTACCATCTAGGAAGACAAGCCTTACAGCATCCATTTCCACCCTTGTTTGCTTTCTTGTCCTCTCTGTATAAAGTAGCTGGGCACAGAACGGGAGAAGCGGGTACAAATGAAATAGTCTTGATTACTACTGATTCCCAGGCAAGGCTGAGCAGTTGAGATATTCACATGTTCCATTAGGAGTAAGTTCTGGCGTTTCAAGGCAATGTGCTCTTCCTTCATTTTTTTACCCCAAGACAGCACTTTTCCTGGTAACTCAAATATACATTTTCCTCTTTCTTCCCTTTCTTCTGTCTTCTCACTTTTGGACTTTCTGTTCCAACACTGGAACAAAGAGGTTGTCATGGAGGATCTACAGATAGATGTCTAAGTTTCTTGATTCTCAATTGTTGAAGGATTTGAGAGCAACATTGACAGCAATAACTAACTAACTAACTAACTAACTAACTAACTAACTAACTAACTAACTAACTAACTAACTAACCAAGCTGTGGCTCAAGCTAAAAACTACCTCTACCCATCTCAGTGCTTCTCACCCATAAAGCCTGGGATTAGGTTTATTCAGTGTGGAAGTGGTAGTTTTCATATTGTCACATATGAACAATCTGATGCAACATGGGCCTTTACTAAAACAAGGAACAGATGGCAAATATCTAGTACCTAAACTTTTTTTTACTTCCATCCCTTTACAAAGATTGGGGAGAAAAAGAAATTATTATAAGCAGAACCTGAGTTGATTATTCAGCAGTTGTTAGAATTTTTCATAATGGCTTCTTGGTTTTTCTAAAATGTATCGCTTTTCCAAAGCTCCCAGATTCTTGAGTATAAGTTTATTTGTTTCTGCTAAGCATGTCAAAAAGCCTAAAAGTATTTGTGCAGTTATGGGTTGCCACTGTCACTTGTTCCCTAATACTTCAATCTATTTCATTTCCAGCTATTAGTCTACATTCATACCTAGTTAGTAATTTTTTTGCACTTAACGAACAATGATGCTCTCACAGCCAGACTTAAGGAATTAAACAGATGCTATGGCAACCATGATGGACTGAAATACTGAGACAGAACACCCCCACCCCCTTCTTTGTGCAACCTCCAGGGAATTTTGCTCAATGGAACACCTTGGACCTCTTTGCTATGGAATTTTTAAAAATAAGTCAAGATATTAACAGGAACAAGAGGAGTTAAACTGTGATAGCAGTGTTCCAATATCTCAGGGACTGCCACAAAGAAGAGGGGGTCAAACTATTTTCCAGGCCACCTGAAGGCAAGACAAGAAGCAATGGATGGAAACTAATCAAGGAGAGAAGCAACCTAGAAATAAGGAGAAATTTCCTGACAGAACAATTAATCAGTGGAATGGCTTGCCTTCAGAATTTGTGGGTGCTTCAACAATGGAGGTGTTTGAGAAGAGACTGGGCATCTGTTTGTCTGAAATGGTATAGGGTTTTCTGCTTGAGCATGGGATTGGACAAGAAGATCTCCAAGGTCCCTTCCAATTCTGTTATTCTGTTATTCTTTTTGTTAAAAAAAAACTTCCTGGAATATGTCAAGGTCACCTCAATAAAAATTGTGCAGCATTATCTCATTTGGTTGACTATTGTCTTTCATGATACACTCTCAAATGTACAACATTAAGAAGAACTGGGGGGGACATCTTGTTTTACCACTGAGCAATAAAAAATCCCCAGGGTGTTTTCCTCTCACACATGTAAAAACACATACATACACTCCATTTGACTTTTAATTCCCCCTTTCCCTTTGCTTTGTTATGTCGTTCCAGCTCTATGAAGATCAAAAAATTCTTCACTGACAATTAAAAAAAAATAGGCATCACAC